GAAAAGCTCCGCACAATGGAGCCAGCTACTTTCCCCAGTGCCGCCACAGAAGCAGGGGGTGAGGCTCTTTACCACTTCCAGCAGAGTTCTGGCAGCTGCATGTGATGGCAGGCAGCAGGGGAGGCAGCCAACCTCATTGCACGGGGCTTTCCCTGGGGGCACACAAGTGCCGGGAGCTGCACATGTGCTGCAGGGAGCCCTGCACGATACAGGCAGGCTGGCCTGGGTGTGTTTCTTGCTGCCATGTGCAGCTCTGGCCACAGCCATACAGCGCTGGGCAGCAGCACCTGTGTGGGCCATGAGCACCCCAAGGGCCTTTGTCTGCTGCTGCCAGTGGTGGGGACTGTGCACCATGGGGGGGAATGCAGGGGACTCCCCACACCCTCCCACACACCCCACAAACCCTACACACACACACCCTGCCTCCACAAACCCTTCACACACACACCTCATAACTTACCCTACATCCCCCCCACACAGCCATCCTCTCACAATCCCCCCACACCCCACCATACACACCTCCAACCACATCTCACACACAATATACAAAAGTAAGACTATTCTGAACTACACCCACACACACACCACAAACACAAATCATGACAAAATGATTCTTTGTAATAATATTAAAATATGCTATAGTAGGTGTTGACTTTTAGCATATGATTTAGTTTTATTCTGGTTCAAAGATGGCAAACCCGCCCCCTCCCAAAAGGAGTACTTCCAGGGGCAAGGGAGGGACTTCTGGTGGCAAAGGTTAGGGGTTATGGGCAGGACTTCTGGTCCCAAGATGGTGACCAGAGAGTGAAGCACCTGTCAAGGGGTAGGGCTACCCTTGCAGCCCTTGTCAGCACACCAAAACTCATTAAGAAGCCCTCCAACAAAATAATTGCCCACCTGTGCTCAAGCTACAGCTCCTTCTCTCCCAGTATTCACCACTCCTAATCTATACAGATGAGGATTTCATCCATGGGATAAATTAAATAGATGAATAGATGGCTTAGGCACTGATTCTTCCTCTATCAAAAAAATATTTTCAGCATCTACTAAAAGACAAACTAGAGAAGTGGAGAGGGAAGAGACAGTTAAAATACCAGTTTCTAACTCTCCCTAATTATCAGAGTGACATCATAACTTGCCTACATGAGAAGTTATTCCTAATTCACAATTCCTGATTAACTCCCTATGTGCTCTTACTCTGGAACAAGACTAATATATTCTGAATCAATTCAATGTATTCTGATTAAGCTCATTTGAAACTTGCCTTATTAGTTCCAGAATCAAAGCATCCACATGGGCAGCTAATCAGAAATACCCATAAAATTCCTTTAACTAACTACCTTGTATAGTAGACAGACCCATAGTGACAGAACACAAAATGGAAATCAAGAACAAGAACACATTCTTAGGCATTATAAAACGATATACTATATCTTAAGAGTACATAAAGGAGTTTAGGTAAAAGGACTAGTTCCATTCCTTAGATGCGTTTGTGGCAGCTGCTGGTGGCCCCAAGATCCTTCACTTTGAGCTATACAATAAGGAAACCAAGATGTAAAAAAAAAATTCAAAAACAGAGACTTCTTAGCTGGCTGCTTTGCAGCAACTCTCTGCTCTGCGCACAAGATCACTATCAAGTAACATGACCAGAGGAACTTTTTCTAAATGTTGTTGAATATGAATATATGGATTAAAAAGTATCAAAAGCCAACACAAAATATTGAGTATATAAGTATTATGAAAGAAAAGTAACTGTGTGGGTGTTTATATTAGTTGGGGTCATGTTTAATTAATGATAGATTTTTTTTATGTTCTTTTTATTCACAATCCAACTTTTGTAGTAAAGAAAATTCCTTTTTCGCAATACTGGCTCCTGAAATACACTCTCTATTACCCGAGTTAGGTTTACACTGAAATGATTTTATGCTTGTCATTATAGATTCAAAGTGATGGATTTGCACATTCAGATACACCTGCTTTTTATTCTAGTTAGGTTTCTAAAATTCCATCTTTCTTTAAGTGAAAGATGAAGTTTTCAATGTATGGAAGAATCCCTTCTAAATTTTCAAAAGGCCTAGAGACAGTCACCAAAGAATCCTTTCACAGTTATGCAGTGAGCCAGGGCAAGGACCAATAACATAGAATCATAGGAAAGTAGGGCTGGAAGGGACCTTCAGACGTCATCTATTTTCACTCTCTTCATGAGGCAGGAGGCATCATCCCTGTCCAAACTATCCTGTACAAATCCATGGTCTAACCTATTAGCAAAACATAGTTAGTTTTGTTCAGATTTTCATGCACTGAAGACCTGATCAACACTCGTGACTCAGGCCCAGACCCAGACTTAAGTGTTTTGTCAGATCAAGATTCAAGTACTTTACTTTAATGAACTGTCTGCAAGGGCTTGGGGGTTACTGTTATAGCAAAAAGTGAGGATACAAACTGGAAGCACATGTGGTGCACACACTAGGAAGATTTGAAGTGACTCGCTCAGCCAAGAGCAAACACATATTTTTTTTAATCCATTACATATTTTGCATTATAACAATTACCGTAGAGCATCCATGAGCAAATCAAAATGTTTTACTAATTTGTGGACAACCCCATCCCCTAGAAATTGACATTTAAGGGAAAGCAAGAGTTCAAACATTTTCATTTACTGCTTTAACATAATTTAGTTCATAGAGGGCATGTCTACACAAGATACTAACTGTGCAGCAGCCTGATAATACTGTGCAATCACGTCGCGTAGCAAAAACTGTGCCGAGACGCTACTGCACAGTAGTATTAAGCTACTGTGTAGTAGTGTCACTTAAAAGGCATTCAATGGCACTACACACAGTAACTCCAGTTAGCACAGATTTATTTAGTACTTTCTTATACAAATACAAATAAATGCGCAATAACCACTGAGCAGTAGCATCCTGCGTAGACGCACCCAAACAGGTTTTAAAGTACCAATTAATTTGGGTGTTACCCCCTCATCCTGCTAATATCGTTGAAAAAAAAGAATTACAAGATAATGAAACAAGTTGGTCAAGTAAAATGAAAACTATTAGTCTGTGCCTATTCTGCAGATATTATTTTAAGACAGCTAACCTCACTCATATGTAAGAGCTGAGTAAGTCCAAACAAAATTGCTAGTTATGCTTCTGTTATGATTTTGTATCTATAGTAACATTAAATCATCAGCCAAACTTCACTACTAAAGCACTCAAGGGCAGAGGTAGGGAGGACAGGAAATTTTACACTGAAGAGAACACAAATACAAGTTATAACATACTTGCAGGCATTACTTGCAGTAATATAATATACTTGCAGTTATAAGTAGACATACATGCATACACACACACACACACACAAATGTGTGTACTATATCTTCCCTGAATTTCCTGCCATCCTTGGCACCTTTCCATAACACTTTACCTTATCGACCCTACTTCATCTCTCAAAGCACATTTAGCAAACCTCTCCCTCCTGCAGGCACCTTTAAATGTCTACTTCCCAGGCACATTAGTTTGCTCTATAAAGAATTTGGGGCTAAATAATAGCTTCCTTAAATAGTTTTCCATAGCTGATTGTTACAACTCATGCTGCACAATTCACATGTAAAGTGCTTCACTGCCACAGTGATGAGCTTTTGCAGGATAACAGCTCATGGGTGATGGACTGGTGGAAGATTTTGTATTCAGTTTCAGAAACTTCCACCCAATACCACTATCAAAAGTGACCAAGGAACCGAGCATCTTACACAAGTAGCGGTGGCTTTCTCCTATCTATCTCTACCAAACAAGCAGCAGGCAGTAGCAAACTGTATCCCAAGGAGTATGAGTTCCAAGCCACTCAGCACTCGAAGAGCTGCACAGATGAGAGTACTTGCCAGCCCTACGAATAAAAAACACGGTTGCAATATGAACTTCGGAGATCACAAGGCCACAAAACTGGAACACCAAGTGCTCTGAGAGGACAAGGACTTCACTTGGAGGAAGAGATGTTGTACAGCAACAAAAGTTGAAAAAGCAGGGCAGTGTGACACCTTAGAAACTAACTGGTTCAGAGAGGCATGAGCTCAAATCTCCTGTCACAAGTCTTTTGCTTCCCTCCTCTCACCCCAATTAATGACACTAAGCATACTGGTATATTATTCAACCATATACCAGCACTGTATAGAAAAGTTAATGTTTTTCACATACTTGCTTAATGCCTCAGGGATCTTACTTATTGGGCAGAAAATGAAAGAGCTGATAAAAGAGAGAGAAATACTGACCACTTTATTTCTTCCTGACAGAAAAGCAAAGCCAAGAAAAGATCCCAAATACTAGAATATTTAGGTTAATTCAGGTTATTACATAATATAAATGCACAGCCCAAACTTTAGACATGAAACGTCTCCTGCATTTCCTTAAAAAAGTGGATTACACATGTATACTTGAACAATAATTCCAGATTAACCTCTGAGTTAGGAAGAATTTAAGGAAATAACTAAAGCATCATGAAAAAGTGGAGTTTCATCCAAATATATTTTGGTTTTTACTGTGAATTTTGCGTTCAAGACCAGAACTGTGTTTTGCATAACAAGGTACCCAGGTTTGTTGAGGTTCAAAAGAAAAACCTTCTTTGGGATTCACTTGTTTACAGCAAGAATTGACAGTTACAGGATAAGTATCTCACTTCCACTCAGGCCCTGCTTACACATAGTTTTGTTTTCTATGAGATACCTATTGTTTATTTGATTTATATGCCACCCTTCCAGAACCTGGCAGAGTCAGATCAGTGCAACCCCCTTGCATCTGCATAATTATACTGACATAAAACACTTTACTGTTGGATATACAAATTTATGTGGATGCTGTAGTAGCCTGTGTGAGCTTCTCCTCTGCACTAGAGTGGGATCAGATTACACTTTGCTCTCCTCTGGTACCCATGATAAAGTAATTCCAATTTTGATTTAAATATCCATTAAACCTGCTACAAAGTTAAATATTCTCTGTATTTTTCAGACTGAAAAAGCTTCTTGAACAAGAAACGGCTTATCAGGCAAAAAGAGAGAAGGAAAACAACAAGAAGACAGCTAAACTAAAAGAAGAACTAACAAAATTGAAAACATTTGCGTTAATGGTGGTGGATGAACAGCAAAGACTCACTGACCAACTAAACGAACAGAGTCAAAAAATTCAAGAGCTAGCCACCACTGCAGATCAAGCATATGCAAAGCTCACCATTGCTGAAGCAAAATTTCAGGAAGAGGAGCAAAAAGTTATCAGGCTGGAGGTTGAATTGCAGGCCCAGAACAACAAGATTTCCCAAGACCAAGAAGCAATGATGGCCAAGCTAACCAATGAAGACAGTCAGAATCGCCAGCTCCGGTTGAAGTTAACTGCACTCAGTCGACAAATTGATGAACTAGATGAGACTAATAAATCTCTGCGAAAAGCAGAGGAAGAATTGCAAGACCTAAGGGATAAAATGAATAAAGGAGAGTGCGGAAATTCTACCCTTATGGCTGAAGTTGAAGAATTACGGAAACGTGTGCTGGAAATGGAAGGTAAAGATGAAGAGCTCATAAAAATGGAAGAGCAGTGCAGGGAGCTTAATAAAAAATTAGAAAAAGAAGCAGCACAGAGCAAGAACCTTAAAGCAGAAGTTGACAAACTCAACAAAAGAATCATGGAACTGGAGAAACTAGAAGATGCTTTCAGCAAGGGCAAACAAGAGTGTTACTTTCTGAAGTGCAATCTAGAAAAAGAAAAAATGTTAACAAAGCAATTGTCCCTTGAACTGGATAGCTTAAAAGCTAGAATGGGAGAGCTTGAAGCCATTGAAAACAAGCTAGAAAAAACAGAAGTCACACTTAAGGATGACCTAACTAAACTGAAAACACTAACAGTGATGTTGGTGGATGAAAGGAAAACAATGAGTGAGAAAATAAAGCAAACTGAAGAAAAGTTACAAGCTGCAAATACTCAACTTCAGGTGGAGCAAAAGAAAGTTCAGACAGTTACAGAAAAGCTAATTGAGGAAAGCAGAAAGGCGCTAAAATCAAAATCTGATGCAGAGGAAAAACTGTCTACTGTAACAAAGGAAAGAGATGAACTGAAAAACAAACTGAAAGCAGAGGAAGAGAAAGGAAGTGATCTTGTTTCCAAAGTAAATGTTCTAAGGAAAAGGCTTCAGTCCTTAGAAGCCATTGAAAAAGAGTTTCTGAGAAATAAACTCAAAGAGACTACTAAATCCAGCACATCTTTACAGCAGGAGAACAACAAAATAAGAGAACTTTCCCAAGAAGTTGAGAGGCTGAAACATAAGCTGAAAGAAATGAAAGCCATAGAAGATGATCTCATGAAAACTGAGGATGAATTTGAGTCTCTAGAACGAAGATACATTAATGAACGAGACAAAGCAAAGTTTCTGTCAGAGGAACTAGAGATTGTAAAAATAGAACTGGCTAGGTATAAACTGGCAGAGAAGGCAGAGTCCAACCAAGAACAGTGGCTTTTCAAAAAGCTTAAAGAAGAAGAAGCTAAGTCAGGTCACCTGTCTCGAGAGGTAGATGCATTAAAAGAGAAAATTCATGAGTATATGGCGACAGAGGACTTAATAGGTCATTTACGGGGGGATCATACAATCCTGCAAAAGAAACTCACACAACAAGAAAACAAAAACAGGGAGCAGGCAAGAGAAATGGAAAACCTCACAAAAGAATTAGAAAGGTACAGGCGCTTCAGTAAGACCCTCAGACCTAGTCTCAATGGAAGGAGAATTTCTGATTTGCAGGTTCTCTCTAAAGAAGTCCAGACAGAACCAGCTGACAATGAACCACCTGATTACAAGAGCCTTATTCCATTAGAACGCGCAGTCATAAACGGGCAGTTATATGAAGAGAGTGATAATGATGATGAAGACCATAGTGAGGAGGAGCAAATGATATCTTTTAAATGCAATTCATCCATTGCAAATGCTGTAAACAAAAAATTATGGATCCCATGGATGAAGTCAAAAGAAGGCCACCCTCAAAATGGAAAAATTCATGCAAAACAAAATGGAAGTTTTGCACAGCCTGGAGATCTAGTTCTAAGTCATATACCTGGACAGCCTCTTCATATAAAGGTTACTCCAGACCATGGACAAAATACAGCGACACTTGAAATAACAAGTCCTACTACAGAAACTGCTCACTCTTACACTAGTACTGCGGTTATACCTAACTGTGGCACACCAAAACAAAGAATAACTATTATTCAAAATGCCTCCCTAACTCCAATAAAAACAAGAGTGGCAGAAGGCTACATGAGCCCAGAACAAGCTATGTCACCTCTTACTATGGCTGCTTTTGCAAGATCTCAAACACCCGAATCATGCATCTCAGGAACTCCAGAAAGGACAATGTCCCCCTTGGCTCTGCCAGGCTCTTCCAGTGCTCAGGAACAGATACTTTCAACGGAGCCTTTGGAAATCAGTGCCAAGCATGCTGTTTTTAGAGTATCTCCAGACAGGCAATCATCCTGGCAGTTCCAAAGATCTAACAGTACTGGTTCAAGCGTAATAACTACTGAGGATAATAAAATCCACATTCATTTAGGAAGTCCTTATGTTCAAGCTCTTAGTAATTCAGCAAAGTCCAGCAACCCTTGTACTCCAATGCAGGATAGCAGAACACCAGCACTATCTAATGGAACACCCAGTAAACCTACCAATAAAATCACCAGCAGTATCACTATCACACCAACAGCCACGCCTCTCCCACGACAATCACAAATTACAGTAAGTAATGTCTATAACTGACCCCCGTCCATGCTGACACCCTTACCAGCAACCCATCCTGTTTTTTTCATCCCAGCAAGAATTATTTGGAGTACCCTTTTATTTTGGGAGAGATCTGTGCATGAACTGTACTACAGTATATGGAACTAATGTTACGTT